GGCTTAAACCTTCTGCAAAGCCTAGAGATAGGAATTGCAATAGACAACTGTGTCACACACAGCCTGCTAAATACAGTAAGCTTACATTGCACCACCAGGAAGTGGGGCGAACAGAATTCCCATGGGCCAAATTGGCTATGAAATAGTCTTGTAAGGACTTCTCAGTAGAGCCTTGCCTTGTACCAAATCACTGTCTTCTCGGACTCAAGCCAGGGGATTATAGAGATTAGATCTAGATTCTGTCTAAAGCGACTTGGATAAAATGGGTTTTAAAATAATCATCACAGACTTGCCATTTCTGGCTTTCATGGTCTGGGGACTTTGAACCAGCTGTGGGAATTAGGAGTTGTAGCCGGGTATAATCTCTTTGCAGTAAGTGGCTAGTACCATCAGCAAAGCAAAGACTATTTCAAGGAGGTCACCGAGCCTTCAACACCTGTGGAACTGATGCTATTGCAGGGAGACAGAGTTCAAACAAAACCACGGGGAAACAGAAAATGAGAGAAATCCCTCAACCTTTTCCACCCTGAAAGACATTCTTCCTATAAGATCTTCTTGTTTGAAAATGCAAGTTCCTTTACCTCCAGTGTCAGAAGATAAAAATGTATTCACTTGGAAAAAAATGGCTTTAAGTTAACCTAACCTTTTAAAAAGTGTGGCATATTGCTGGTAATATACCAATCTTTAACTGTGGATGGGAGAGAAATGTGAGACATATTTGAGCAAAGATGTTTAAGTCTCACCAGGAGAATTCCCTGAAGGAACCAATGAATTGTATAGCTTCAGAGAATGTTCCAATGCCATAGTTTTCTATTGATTCACGGTGAGGGTATGATCAGACAAAATCAGCATACCTGGAAAGACAGAGTCCCCACTGCATCACAGACTCTCTTCTAATAGTCTTCCTTCAATTGATTATTGCTAAATTAAATCAAGTTTCAACATGGTGTGAGATATTATCACTTAATGAAATTTCATTGTATTAAGTGAAACAGCTGTCTTTCAGGCAGGGAATTCCCCTCTGTATGCCGGCTTCATAAGCTTGGATCCTGAATTGTCAATATCTTTTGTTGATATTTAAGGGTACTTTTTAAGATACTTAACACAGAATTATTTTGATCATTGATTTGCTCTGTATGACACATTGTACATGTATAAGGTCACTTTTGACACAATGCCAAAGAGAAAATCTCAATAAGTTATTCCTAATATGCACATGTGTACGATTATGAAAATAAGTAAGGGAAACATGTGTAAACACTTGTGAACATAAGACCTTCAAATACTCTGGCCCAAAGCAGGATTTTATAGATATTGATTCTACTGAATAATAGGATCATATATTTTCCCTGTAAGTGCCATATAACTTGGTTGGAGAAACACTGTGATAAGCAATACTTACCTCAATAGAAATGAAACATCAGAAAGATATATCTAGAAAATGGAGGTTCTGGCCATCTTAAAAGCATCCTGTACTGGAGTGCTCTCGCCTCTCATATCCTGCCATGACAAGCCAGCAGCTGAGAACAGAACTATAGGAAAAACAAAATGCTACAAAAGGCAAGGGAAAATACAAACAATATCCACATTATCTTCCAGATCCCAATTGCTGCTGCACTTCTTGAGACACTGAGTTTTTGTTCAAATGAATAGAATCTGTTGAAAGTCATTAGATACTCTCAAGATATGATATGCAAAGTGCAGGTTCTTGAGCATCCCTCTACAGCAGAGTGCACCTTACAAACACTTAGGTGATTTCTTTATAACATGAGTTAGGCCCGCTAAAATATTCACCTGTCTATGAATTTCATGGATTTTTCCATTCAAACAAACAATTTCCTTTGACTAAGAACCTAGACTCTGGAACAAGAGTACTAAAATGAGACCCTAGCTTTATTACTTTTCAGTGTGATATTCTATTTCTACATCCGTAGAGCAGACAACCTAATGGTACCTCTCCAATTAAATGAATGAGTGCATGCAACATGCTCAGAGCAGGGCGTGTGACACAGTAAGCATTGTCTGTGCTCATTGCTATCACTATTCTCAACAGTTTTTAATGCCCACGTACACATTGAAAGCCACCACCTTGGGAGTACTCAGCCTGCGAGCATTACAAGGCGTGAAGTAAGAAGGAAATAATCATCATCTTTGTTACAGTGACTCTGCCTTCCAACTGATACTTGATAAGAAATGTTTATCATCTGTCACCCGTGTTTATCAGCATAAAGACGGATATATAATCAGGCTGAACCATCCCAAGGAGTTCATCGAACCCTGAGTCCTCTAAGGATATGGGAATTCTAATTGACTTTGGACATATTGAGTGAAATGAGAGGTGATCACTATCCCCATGCATTAATAATCTGTGTATTATGTGGAGTGAATCAGGAGGCTGACTCTTAAATCTAAGTCTGGAGCAGGCTTAGGAAAGGAAGAACACCCAGGCTTCTCATTCAAATGCTTAATTGGGTCTTTTAGCAATTAAAAAATAATAATTTTTGGCAAGGCATACTCATAGTTTTAAGAGGTATTAAGATTTTCATCTTGACAACTAATAAAATTATCTATTAAAAGGTAAACACCAAATTTACTCTGAAATCGATATTTTAAAACCTGACAAAAAATAAACCTGCCTGAGTATAGCATTATGGTGGTTAAAACTCGGGGCTAAGCTGGAAAGAGCCCTCGGTTTGGTAGTGGCTCATCTGCCTACCAACTGTGACCTTTATGGGGCCTTTCTCCCAGGACCTGTTATACAAAGGGCCTGATATAGGGAACAGAGCCATGGACTTGGAGAATCCTTAAGAGAGAGAGATATTTCCCAGCAAATTTTTCTTGGTAGATATCCAATGATGAAAATCCACTATCTCCAAGTGACTGTGTGACTTGAAGGCCCCTGCGTGCTTCCCCCTTACCCCAGATAAGATAGAAATTTATTGTCTTCCTCTTACTTCTACAGAAAAAAAAAACCAATTTTCTAACAAAGACATTTCAACTTAATGAAATTTAAAATAATGAAAAAAAAAACGAATGTTCTGTGAAACTTTTACTTGGAAGCTATGTTGTTCTATGCTGTACCAACATAAAACCAAATAGCCGAAAGGCCTATAGAGGATGCCGGTCCTTTAATAAATGTTGTGTTTGTGCATGTAGATCAAAGAAGATTAAAGTCACTGTCAAACAGTTCTGGCGATGTTGACATCTACCCTACCAGGTCAGCAAGGACCATGGGAAGGAACACTGAATGAACAGGTGCAGTTCCTGGGGTCTAGGATTAGTTCTGATAGTAACTTTCATTGTCACTTTCTGGAGTCTCCAAACAGTCTGTACTGCAAGTTCCTCATCTATAAAAATGATAGTTTAGGTGACTCTATCTCTAAAGTTTCAGATAGCTTTAAATTGTCATACTTCAAAGAAAATTATTTCCCCTTAAGCTAGTTTTCTGAGGAAGGAATAATTTGCTGGAAAAAAAAAAAAAGGTGACCTCCCAGCCTTTGCATAAGTAGATCTTCTCTTCACTAAAAACTTAGGCGTATCAGACTCTTTAAGGCTGGAACCACAAAACAAATGAAGAATCGGCCAGCACCCAGCACACACCTTTGTTGTGGAGACATGAGCTCCAATTTTCAGCTCTCCTGGGGCTGTGGAGTAAGTCCTAGGGGCTTCATCGTGACAGAATGGGTCTCATAAAACATCACCAAGTACAAGGTATGAGTACTGAATTGCTATCTGTCTCATAAGATCTTTCTCAGGGGGCTCTTTAAATGCCTAACAATCCTATCCAAAGCCATCTGTCTCTCTCCACGCCAACTCATGAGGCCTATTCTGTTAACCCAAGTCTTAAATAGACCTAAGAGCCAAATGAATTCCAAGAATGTCTGAGCATAAACAAACTACCAGAGCCAATTACAAAACTACTTCATTCCGTGTCTCCAGGCCCTTCCCATACCAAGGTGTCTATATGTGTCAGAACTGGCTTTAGCTTGAAAACATCCGTAATTTCCACGATGACATTCATCTTTGAAATAAATGGAAGGGTGTGCTGATGCAAATGAAGACAAATTCAGGGGAAAAACTTGAAACGTTATGGAAATTACAGAGTAAAAATGTAAAATGCCTAATCATAGATCACTATTCAAAAGAATGGAAATTCATATCTAAGCAATATGGAAATGTAGGCAGTATGTTTTAAGAAAGAAAAGAAAATAATGAGGTAATGGGGTCTATGTATAGATGCATATATAATCTGTCATATATATAGTCTATTATTGATTCTACCAAAAAGCTGCATAAAAGACATGAAAATCATAGAACACTTTAAAATGAGATATGCAGACCTTGTTATCTAAAATATGATTGCAATGGGANTATATATATAGTAGGGAGATCCTTCTGATTTGAATATTGACTAGAAGAGAGCATTTGCATCCCCTATTTTGCAGAAAATTTAGCCACAGATGTACTTCTTGTACAAAGGAGAGAATGCAAGTGACATACCCAGACTATTCCTAGTAAATTAGTGTTGGCCAGGCACTGGAGCTTCCGTACCTGAAAACACAAAGCAAAGCAGCCACTGAGGTCCAGCGGTAGGAGGGAAGCTGAGTAAATGAGTAGAGTCCTGGAAGGAGAGGGCCTCAGCTTTGCCCACATGGACAGAGAAACACTCTTCTCAAATGTTAATGGGTCGCTAGACAAGTGTTGTTGATATTCATGTCCTTTCCTCCCTAACCAAAATCAAGAAGAGGTCCTTGAGCCATGACATCCATCTGACAAGGTCTTCTTGTCTTCCGATCAAAGCATCTCCACGTAATCTTCTGTAGTGAACTGCGCTCTTCTCAGCTTCCTGTAAGGCGGAAGTCCTAGTCTCACCAAATCAGTTCCGGGCCTACAGAAAGTGTCCCCTTTATTATTGGACCCACGAGGATGGTGAATGGCTTCAGGCCATTTATTTTTCAGCACTCTTCTGCTGGTGGGTGTGCTTTTTTTCCTCTCTACAGAAATCAAAGATCTCCACCTACGAGAAAATGTGGGCTTTTATGAGCAGCAGGCAACAGAGCGCACTGGTTAAAAACAGCGATGAGGGGATCCAGAGAGTGCTGACCACCGACTATGCCCTGCTGATGGAGTCCACCAGCATTGAGTACGTGACGCAGAGGAACTGCAACCTCACCCAGATCGGGGGCCTCATAGACTCCAAAGGTTACGGAGTGGGAACTCCTATAGGTAAGAGGGCAAGGCGCTTGCCAAGGCTAAGCTGGGCCATGCTGGTGGCAAGTATCCAACATATTGAGAAGCATGCAATGTCTGCGGTAGACTCACCAGGAAGCGCAATGTCCGTAAAAAAATAAGGCATGGTTTAAATTGAGGAAGCTCAGATGCTTAGTCTAATAAATTTTCAACTACTATTTTTTATATCTCACCACAATAAATGTTTAATATTTGTGTGATTTTTCATCAATATTAAAAAATATATTTTCCTAATTATCCTCCATACATTATTTTCTTGAATACCTATCTGTACCTAGCTTTTAATGCCTTAAGTTACGTTAGACTATAAGGAAATTAGTTCTACATATAGATGAAAATTAATTCTGAATATGGGAGGCTATTGTTCCATTCTCAATAAATGGGACGACAATAACAAATATGTCAAAAAAAGGGGGGTAGAAATTAAAGTTTGAACTTTGATCAGACAGTAGAGTCAAAAAATAACTACCTAAAACCTCCAGATTTCCTATTTGTTCTGTATAATATTACTGTGCTTCCTCGGGACCCTGTTGCCTAGAAAGAACACACACTCATATACTACCCTCATCTATGACAAAACAGGAATAAACAGAAAAAGTGTCTGTGTCCAGGAAACAATTACTGATGCTTTCTACGAAGAAAATTCTTCCCGTTACCTCTCTCTATAGAACACTGTGCTTGTGGGCTTCTGCCCTAAAGGTATCCTGTTCCTCTCAAGTGAAGCTTTGGTAATCCAAAGGAGAAAAATAAGGACTTTCAGACCTGGGGGCTAAAGCTACAGAAAGTGTAGTGGCTGCTGAGCCGTATAAACAAGGGCCAAGGGTAAACTTGACTTATTGTCCGTACTTGTAATTTGTTGCCATGTTTGGCAGGGATTATGCAGTGTGACCATCAATGTCAGGCAGGGATCATAAACTTCAGTGTTTACAGAAGCCAAGCAGGGATCATGAGTCAAGAGGGTTTGCTTTGCTAGGGAATGCTGTCAACTGAAGACTGTCGGAGACCATGGCTTGTCTAAGAGAGGCCTTCTCAGCAGTCATCAGAAGATCTATAGGACGTTAAGAACATGTATGGTCAGATATTTCATTTTCCCAACAAAACACAAAGTCATAATTTAGGTGAAATAAATTTCCTAAAGTTAATAATTTGACAACCAATTAATTTTGTTTTAAAAACTGTTTTCAACCCATAATCAACAATATTCACCATGTTAATATAAATTAACCAAATAAAGAGCTTCCATTGCACAAACAGTTTGTTTACTTGTTGGAAATATTAGCATATATTCTGAGAAACTACCTTTCTGGTCACTGTTGTCTCTAGATCCTCAGAAGAACAATTACACGAGGGAGCTGTAACTCCCTTCTTGGCCCTCAGTTCTTTTGTAAGAATAGTTTGCTGGGTATATTGGGGTGTACTGGAGAATGCCTTACCTGAATCTGCTTGGAGAGAACGCCAGGCTGAGTGATAACCAGTATAGAAGCATAGAGAAATGGGCTGGGGGGGGGGTCTCCATTTGAGGAATACACTTTTACAGTGGGGCTAAGCTTCTCTTGTCCAGTTTTCTATGCTCCATTTGCTTCATTCAAAGGAAGATTACCACAGTTGTAGGAAGTTTGTGTGAGCCACTGTGTATCTAATTTCCAGTTGTGCTGTCTCTGCCATTCAGATAAGAGCAGCGCTGGCTAAAGGGTCTGGTCACAGAGTGCAGGGTCGCAGCTCTGGAGAGTAAGATTACAGCATTCCTTGAACAATCTGGGATCCGTAGACCATGCTTGTGAAGATCTGTAATAGGAGATGGGCTCCATTTTCTGGTCTCTTTATTCTTTTAATTTTTAAAACTTTCATAAAAATGTAAATTACATCATTTCTTTTTCCCTTTTCTACCTCTTCTGTGTCTGCTTCCCCCAGAATTCACCACTTCCTCTTCTTTAACCACTGCTGTTTACATACATAAAAATCCATCCTGTTGAGCATGTTCAGTGTTACCTACATGCATATTTCTAGAGCTGATTGCTACAGAATTACAAATGGGAGCTCATCCCTGGGGAAAACTAATTCTCTGAGCAGTTGTTCATTGCTTTCAGTTCTTATTCTAGGGTGAAATTCATGAGATTCGCCTCATCTACACTGGAGTGTCTCACCAGTGTTGAATTGCTCAGGTCTTGTTCCGGTAGCCATTTTGAGATTTCCTAGGTTCAGCTTTCCTGTCATAGATAGATGGCAAAACTTACAGTGAAATGTTGGTGCCCTGCCTCTTACAATCTTTGCCCCCTGTCCTCCACATGTTCCCTGAGACTTGTGTGCAGGAATCGTGTGCTATAGATAAGCTAGAGGTGGGCACACACCATGGTCATTTGAGTCATCTGTCCACTGCATTTTGATTAGCTAGAGCCACTGGCCTTCACTCCACATTCTTCTCAGAAAGAGCAACCAATCCAGCCTTAGTAGATTCCTTAGATGCCTCTTCTTGTGGCTGCTCTGAGCTGAGCAGAGGAGAGGGGTGGTCTGGTTTATCATGTTATTCTGGCTGAACTTTCATTAGATGCCACAAGCAAGCAAGCAAGCAAACAAACAAACAAAGCTACTTAGGAATGGTTTGGGTAGAAGGCGCTGGTCCAAAGAGCTTATTGGAACTAGATCTTTGGTTGACAAGGGCTTAAAATCTGGCAGCAGTGTCATCAGCAGGTGGAACTCTCAACTCCAGACGACACAAACCAAGGTGACCAAGACCTGCCACTGGTTTTTAAACCCCACAGTCAAGCTCTCTTAGGGATAAGCACTCCCGAACCTCACTACCACACTGGATAACACTTAGATTTTGTTGCACTTGTCCGCATTTGTTAAATGAAAACAGCCTCTACCTTCAGCACATGGGCTACAGGTTCTATCTTAAATAACAATCTACAAATCTAGGGCTCTGCAGTTTTGAGGCAAACTAATGCAAGTAAAAATGACTATTACCATATTATTGAAATTTTGGGCTAGCTTAGCTATCTGATTGGTGAGGTTTATGAATCGTCTTCAGGCAATGTCTCGGTTTCATTTCTATTGCTGTAATAATAAAATAGCACCGACAAATAGCAACTCAGGGGAGAGAGGAGTTTATTCCAATCACAATTCCATGGCTACAGTCCATTCTAGCAGGGCAATCACAGTTGCAAGAGCTGGAAGCACCTGATCACGCCCTCGGTCAAGAACAGAGAGACAGGAATGCAGACCTGTTTACTTGCTTGCTTGTGTTTAGCTGGGTTTCTCCACTCTTAATACAGTTAAAGGGCCCCCGCATAGGGGTAGTGCTGCCCAACAATGGTCTAGATCTTCCCATGTAACCAGTTTAATTAAGACCTCCCTCCCCACAGGCAAACCCAATGTAAGCAATGCTTCATTGTGCACCTCTTCCTAGGAGATTCCAGGCAGTATCGAGTTGAGAACTAAGCTAACCCATGAACAAAACAAAAACTGAACAACAGGCTAGTCACACACACACATACACACGCACAGTTTTAAACATTTGAGAAGGTAGCAGAATGTCAAAACTCTGTTGTGTCATGAGACAAAGAATTAGGGATTTTAGACATCCCCTTGAGGCAAGAGGAAATTAAGATAGGAGATAGTTTGGAGCTGATCAGCTGGAGCACAGTTGCCTAGCAATGTTCTGGGTGTCTTCTTTAGTGGGATAAAGCTGGAGACCTGAACAACATTTTACCTTTGTAAAATGCCTTTGAAGTTTGTAGAAATCCCAGGCCCCCTGAAGAAGCTCGCAGGGTGAGAGTCCCTGTGGTACTACTATTGGCTCATGCATATTTTATCCTTTGGTTACACTTCCCCACCACTGTCTAGAGCATGGAGGTGGTAACAGATTAACCTCCATTTGTTTAATAAATCTAAACCTCTACGGTCAGTTCAATTTGTGGTAACGAATTTAGCCTCTATGGTCAGTTAAGCCTTTTTATGAAGTGCTCTTAGGGATATAGGATGAGTGTGATCATCATCATCATCAAATGTATCGTCATCATTATAATTAACAATAATAATAATATAGACGGATGTATTATCAGTATTAGAGGCATGTTTAAAATTTATTGTCAAATTCAAATGGCATTTTTTTCTTTTAAGAAAAAAAAGGTGTCACACAGAAACATACAGAGCAAAATATCACATCATGGACGTAGATGACAACTGGACCAATAGACAAGATGGCATAGAAACAATCGAAATGAGCAATTAGAAGCACACCTTCAAGAGTCTCAAAGGTCATATGACACAGAAACAAGGAGGAAACAAATGTATCCCAAAGACACAAAGGTTAAACAATGAGAGCATCCCAGTGGTGCAATAGATCCAAAGTGACGCTTACCTTGAAGACTCAAAGAAGAAAGCTAGTGAGTATCGCAGGGAAAGGATCAGGCAAAGGAATAAAGCTGGGTGGCCATCTAATTCTCATGAGATTTCCTGATAGAAATACCAGTGATCCTGGTAGTTCTCCCAGTGGGAACTCTTATATAATTCATTCAGCTTGTTTTCAGGCAGCTGAAGAAGACTGTTAGACAACAACTAAATGGACATAAGGATCATTTTGGTCTTATATCAATGTCCTATCTCCCTGACCCCACTTGGCTATCTCATTTCACATAATATACATGACAGAAGATGAGAAAAATTTCCTTATGCTTCCTCACCACTGGTTTAGTAAATGAAACACAAGTCAGAGGAAAAAAAAAAAACATCAGGAATGGATGCCTGTGCCTTAATCTTTGCACTACTGGGAGCCCAGGGTTGATTGTGACACACTGTGGCAACTAGAGTTTCTTAACTCAGCTACCTTTAAGCTGGATTACCTGACACCGAAACTTTCTCCTCTCATCTTCTATCACACCTTCCCTACCTACCCTACCCCTTCTGCACCCCTCTTTGACACCAGGTTTTCTGTGTGGTAGGAAACAGAATGGGTATCACTCCGAGAGTGGCAGCATGCGAACATGAGAATTTCAATTGCTGTTCCTTTTAAAGAATACCTAGAGGCTGAGGATTCTGCTCAGTGGTGAACTGCTTGCCCAGCAAGTGCAAGGCCATGGTTTTGATCCTTAACTCTGAAAACAAAATAAAAAAAAAAAGAATGGAATACTTGAAATCTAAATTTTCTGGCAGTATAGTGGTGGTGAGGCTAGAACTGTGGGAGCTTATTCTTTCTGCTACTCTGCTGAGTGAATACAGTGATTTGTGGATTGCATTCTACCCCCACCACACACACACACAAACACACACCCGTGAATGGCTGACTCTGTGACGGGTCTACAGTCTACATTTACATAGTATGATATCTATTACACCGAGAGACCTCAACAGACTCATTCAGTCTCTCCTGCCAACTTTACCTATCACAAACGCTAATGTTAAAGAGCATCCATCTCCCCTTCCTAGATGACAAGAAATACACTCTAGGAATTTTTCATACTGGTGATAAACCTGTCATGCTTTTAAAGCAAAAACAATGAGCGAATAATTGGAACAGATGGTGGGCTTCAGAGTGAACTCATCCACGGGGAATACAGCTGCTGGAAACATTTAAGAGATGCTTCTTTTGTGATGAATTTATACTTTAAGGGAGATCAGTTGCTATTCAGGACGATCCATGGGTACACACACATCATTTTTCCCAAAAGATTTGCAAGAAGTCAGTTCTGATGTCAACCAGGACCACTTTAGAAGGAGCTAAAATTGAACCTAAAAGATATGCAGATATGAAAAGGTCTCTGCCACGTCTAGTCTTGTCCTGAGTCCCCAGAGACTCCAAAGTCTCTCCCGTGATAGAAGATTGGCAAAGTTGGCTCAGTCACAAGCTAAAATTGAAAACTGCTGCTCAGAGGCTCTAGAAATGTGCCTCCTGAGGGATTTAACATCAAACTTCAAGAGAGTGAGAGCAGTTAAGATTTAAACAGGTTCCTGGAAGACTGGAAATTGCCTTCCTTAAAGACCAACATTAAGCAGAGATTGGATCTCCATCTGTCCATAAGGTGTTAGGTCTCGCGCAGCCTGAAGGCAGGAGGAGAGTGGCAGCAAGCATTTATTGTGCACCCACTGCGTATATCACTATGACGACTGTGCAGCCAGGGCTAGGAGTATTGCTCTCATGCTCGTCATAACGCTTCCATGTACCTAAGAGTAAAACACTCCAGGGTCTGTCATTTGCCTGTGCACTCTAGGGATATTAACGCTGCTAATTTTGCCTCCACCCATTGTTCTGGGAAATCTTAAGCAAGTAGTTGATATCTCTTACTCGGTTTTCAAAATCAATTTTTCTCAGCCAAAAATCCATACTCTGAACTGACAAGCTACAATAACCCCTCCAAAGTATTCCACTCCTCCTTTAAAGTAGATTTGGAGTGCTGACAATTACTTTTTAAGTCTTATGCGGAAATAAATGACAAATGACAAAATACTGAGCCTGAGCTTAGAGAACTTTGGCTGTGGCGTAAGACATAAGTCATCTGTAGGGATGGGAGGCAACCAGAAGCACTTTCACAGAACTAGCGCTGAGATGTAAGGAAAGAGGAGAAATGACTTGGATTCTTGACTCCTAAACACACCTTCAGATTTTAAATTTCTTTAAATCTCTTTGACAAACGGTCTTGACTTTATTATTTTTTAAAATTTTTTCCTTGCCTTTAAGATAACTGACTTTTCACTTTGCCTTTACCTGGAATGGCTTTAAGCTTTGTAAGCAAAGAGAGCTACCTACTACTGAGGAGATGAAATACTACCAAAACTGTCGCCATCCAGGGGCATAAACAAGTAAAGGAATCTTGTTTTACCTCTTTTGCATTGATTAACACAGGAATTAAGAGACTATGTCTCAATATATGTACTTTGGCATTTTCTATAATAATTTCCTTTATAATTAAAGTTTCAGTGGAATTACAAGAAGACAGACCATAAATATTACCAAGTTCTTGCCGTCGACTATTATAGCACCTCAGAATTATTTAGAACATAATTTATCTTGATTGGAACACGAATCACTACGGATGAACCACTGTAAACAACACCTGAAATTTTTCAATGTCTTATGTTGTTGATTGTTTTACTCTTTTTACTCTTGGCTCTTTTGAAGAACCCAAATAAATCACACATGGAGTCTTATTCTTTCTTATAAATGTCCAGCCTTGGCTTGGCTTGTTTCTAGCCAGCTTTATTAACTTAAATTATTTCATCTACCTTTCGTCTCTTGTCTTTTTCCTTTTCTTTCATAATCTTACTTTCACTCTTATTCTGTGACTTCCGTGACTGGCTATGAGGTTGGGTGGCTGGCCCCTACAGTCCCCGTCTCCTGGTTCTCTTGCTCCTTCTCTTTCTTTTCTCAGATTTCTTCCTCTATTTATCCTCTCTGCCTGCAAGCCGTACCTATCCTTTTTCCTGACTCACTATTGGCTGTTCAGTTTTTTATTGGACCATCATATGTTTTAAACAGGCAAAGTAATACAGCTTCACAGAGTTGAACAAATGTAACATAAAAGAATATAACACATATTTACATAATTAAACAAATGTTCCAGACATAAACAAATGTAACACACCTTAAAGTAATATTCCACAACAGCCTTGCACAGTAAACATTCCTTGATTGTCATAGCTCAGTCTAGGGTAAAAGAAAGGATCTGCTTCATGCAACAGCCCTAGAACCCAAATTCCTTCTACTCCAGGACTCTTCCGTCACTGGTGACTTGAAAGTGTTTTCTTGTTGCAATGTATCTGAGGAAAGAGAGCAAGCAGAGCATGTTGGGAAGGGGTATGACATGAGAATAGAAATGTTATCCATCACTTTAGCTTCCCTTGTCCAGAAATATGGCCATAGCGGGACTCTAATGAAGTTAGGAAAATAAACGGAAGAACAGCAAAACTCAGCCACAAAAAGAGATCACCAAAAGGCCAGAAAAGGTAGAGTTGAAACAACAAATCTCATGACTAAATACGGATTTAGTGAAGAACTCAGCAGAAGCAGGAATGTCATAAAATTCCTATTTAATGTATCTTAATTTAGAATAAAAAACACCCTGGGCCAGAGTAAACCTCAACATGTCACCTCTCCTTCTAACTAGAGTCTTCAAGATATAAGATTGGAAATTCCCAACTTTGACTAATAGATTCTTACATCAAGTTTGCAGCACTCTGGAGTATTCATTACTAAGATAGTGAAATGACTTGACATTGTCTTATCCCGTTGATGACCAACATCCAAATCATGCCCAACTTCCAGGCTCTCCTTACCGGGATAAAATCACAATTGCCATTCTTCAACTACAAGAAGAAGGGAAGCTGCACATGATGAAAGAGAAATGGTGGCGAGGAAACGGCTGCCCCGAAGAAGAGAGTAAGGAAGCCAGTGCTCTGGGAGTGGAAAATATTGGGGGCATCTTCATTGTTCTGGCTGCGGGACTTGTCCTTTCTGTGTTTGTAGCCATTGGAGAATTTATATACAAATCACGGAAGAACAATGATTCTGAGCAGGTGAGTCACCTCTTTCTAAGGCTGGGGAGTTTTACCTTGAACTTGTCTTAAATGTGAAAATGTGAAGGATATGTTCCCTCTTTGTCACACAGTCTAATGAGTTAGATGCCCAGAAGAGCCATTTCTGAGTTAGAGCAAAGAGCATTGAACCCCTGCCAGGTGCCGCTGGCACAGTAGCTCTTTCAGTTATTAAGGAGAAGGAGGAAGAGTCTTGTACACTAAATCTAATTAGCACTATTTGGGATGACAGTGCGGAAATTCAAATCTCAGTTCATTTCTTCAACCGTTATTTGCTCTTAAGATAGAAACTATAGGAAGAGCAAGGGAGGCATAAATCCGAAATTACAGGAGACCCTTGTGAGCAATGGACCCAGACCTTCAGTATATATTCTGAGCACATGTGCTCTTGTGAAACAACTTCTATAAAAACACAAAGCAGTTTTTTAAATTTGGCATTTTACTTACATCAATACATATATATATATATATATATATATATATATATATATATATAATGTGTAGAAAGAGAATTCATACAATTTCCCTACAGATAGGATAAATAACAAAAAATGACAATAAAATATATTTGATACTTTATTTTTCAAAATTGCGTCTAGGATAATGGGCAATTTCAATAGTCAAGCCATTTTTACTTATTTTATTTTTTAAAGTCATTACACATAGAACTTCAGTGCTTTGGGGGGAAATCCACAATGACTGTGATTTAAGATAATTCCTCACTAAAATAAATAAAATACACAGCTTCAGGACATTGTAATATATTAACCCAGTAGTTTAGTCTACCGATACTACTAGAATTTCAAAGCTAAGAGCTATTAACAAACAGCTTGTTTAATGCTCTACTATCAATATTATGAAACTTTAATAATTTTCAAGATAGGACTTCATATGTCCATTTCTCACAGAGTCTTGAAAATTGTGTGGCTGGCTTTGATTAATAACTAGATACTAGAACCACTTTCTTGATGTGAAAACTGTGTTTTAAGTGCTCGACACTAGGCATAATTTATTATAACCTTCTTTCTCTATGGAAACCCTCCCCAAAATATAAAGCAGTTATGAGGCTATGGGTCACCCCTTCCCTGGACCTCATTCTTGAAAACTGTCTTGAGGTGATAGGTAGAATGGACTGATCTGCCCTAACTTTCAACCCGCTCTTGAGGTGTCTTGTTTTATGCTACTAATTCGAAGAATAAACGCTTGTATATATTATGCTTTAATGTGCTGCTTCATAACTGCTGGCTTCATTTTATTTTAATTTTTCATTTAAACATTCATTCTTGCTTTTCATTTATTCACTTTCTGTATTTTTTTTCTCATTTCTTTTGCATGCAAGGCTTTTTGTTTCTTTTATGGACTGCAGTGTAAACAAACCCATCCGACCAACTCCACTTCCGGGACTACTTTATCTACAGACGTAGAATGTGGCAAATTATTACGAGAGGAAAAGGGGATTCGGACACAGTCCTCAGTCCACACTGTATAACTGAGTTTTTCAGAAGGTGTTCCCAGTGGAACTGTTTGTAATGAGTGTTGTTTGTGCCTGAGTCTACTAGGCGGAAGTGGCCATCATGTCCTTTCCCTTTACACTAACAAAATGTACATACACTACTCCAGGCACTCCACTTGGGCCCCGGGGAAACAGAAGTGTACTAGACACCGATGCAGGGTTTGAGGGGAATATAGACTCCTGGATGCATGTACATACAAAACCTATTCTATCCAACATTGTCGTCTTTCTGTTTTCTTTATGCATTAAAAGTAAAAATAACCCTTTCTTCACAAACAAAAATTGAGACACAACAGGGAAAATCACGGGCAAATGCTAATTCTGTGTGCACTTCTTTTCATCTTTGTGAACTTTCCCCTCCTCTTCCTGTCTCATGTATTCTCTAGACTTATATATTTCAAATTCCCTTTAGCCATGTCTTCTCAATAAGTATACAAGTAACTCTATAACATTGTTAATTTTTAATTAAATTGATCCCAAGGTTTTAAACGTATTATTTACTCAAAACTTAATATCATGGCTCTTAAAGACTTAGGGATCATCTCTGAAAGAATAATGGTTGAACTTGGATGCAAGGGGCATTATGTCATCTGAGATCCACTCGGGGATTGAGGTATAGGCAAAATGATTTCTGGACAGAAACCCAGCAACATCCGGTTTTCATACACTAGTTAGCTGTCATCTATAGGTGTAGAGCCACTAAGCACCTCATTTGCTTTCAGATTATGTATATTTCTTTGAAGAGCCAAGCAGAGTCATAAGTCTGAACTAATTCATGGCATCTTCTGTTTTCTGCTCACCCACACCCACACTTTGCAACAATGAACATTCTCTCACACCACACTATTGCATCCCCTTCTTGTTCACCTAAGATAGAGTAGTTCTTGTTGGAGCCATCTTTTCTGAGCCTTGCCAAATTTACATTCATTTCCCTGGGCCCATAGCCATTATTAATGCAGTCCAACTGTGCTGTGGAGAAGGGGAAGGGGAGAGAATTTCCATATGCATTAGCTGCGGATCTCTGCAGATTTATTTTCTACCTGCATTCAAAGTGCTGTGAAGAATCCCCACACTAACTCACTTGGTGACATAGAAGCCAGTGGCAGGCTTAATTTGGTGTGACAAAGAATGTCTGCTGCTTGCTCTGAGTTCACTCACCCTTCTCGGAGAGTCGGGGAATGGAACTGTCTTTCACCTCCTCTCAATATGGGATCAGTTGGACTTTGTTCTCTACCGGGAAATTACTCCTTGTCATATCAAGGGATCCCCAGGAATATCCCAGCCCAGGAATATGTTCCAGAAAGGAGTTGTTTGGCATCTGGGTAACCACGTTGTATGACCATTTCAGTCACAACTCTTTCTAATCAATCTTATATTTCCTCAGTAAAGCATGATCAGAAAATTTGACTCCTGCACTGATTCTGTCTATGACTATTTCTTTAAATATATGAGCTCTTATGAAAATATCTAAAAATTATATTACTACATATTTACTGTTATTAAAGTAAAAAAATCTGTGTGTCACTGATCAGAATTTTTATTCTCACAGTCAATAGAATCAGGTGGGATAAAGGCTCCATGACTCTTAGTTTCATGATTTATTGATTCAGCATACAGAAACCACAAACAGCTTAAGTTTATTTCCCAGGAACTATTTAATATACCCACATGGATACAAAGTTTCTGAGCCACTGATGATTAAAAAAAAAAGTCAGATGGTGATAACTAGCAAAACTCACCTTTCAGAACAGCTCATCCTTAAAATGTGTTCAGAGATGAATAAAACTAATTTCCTTCGAAAGTTAACAATAGGAGGGCTTGGAATATAGCTTGACTGAGATAATGCTGGCCTCATATGCATGAAGCTCTGGGGTAGGACTCCCCAGTCCCAATCACGCACAAACCTATATGTGCTATCACAAATCTGTAATCCCAGCACTCGAGAAATAGAAAGAGGATTAGAAAGTCAAGAGCATCCTTTACTATGTACTAAGTTTGAGGGAAGCCTGGACTACATGAGACTTTGTGTCAAAAACAAACAAACAAAAACAAACAAACAATATTTTGGTACTGTTTTAGATTATACTATCTAATTCTGTTATTTACTCAGTATTTTATGGTTTTCAAAATGTTTGCCTATACAACGTTACATTTGATCTTTCAGAAATTTTAATTCAGCTTTATCATCATAAATAATAGCGATTAGAGTCCTAAACCTTGAGTTATGACATTAAAAATTAAAAGAGAATTTTATAAATTATCCAAACTTAGGTTCAAGCACAGCCACGTGTGTCATCACTGTAGGCCACTTACTATGTCCTAGCTTCAGTGCCTAACATCCCCCACTAGGAAATCGTTTCTAGAATACAAGGTTGCTTCGGAGTATTTCTGATCACAGGTACCACTGGAAAGTGCCTCATTAATGACGGTTTCATGGTTAAACAACCCCAAAGGAACCACACTCTACATTTCCTTGCCAGGTGGCATCTTAGTATATTTAATACGTTGTCATGGACAGAAAATTTCCAACTTCTCAGTATCTCTCAAGCTCTCAAGTCATAGTATATTTTCTATAAAGACCCTGGGAAGACTGGTGTGACCCAGATGACTCTCTAGGAAACACAAGTATGTCAATATCAATGATATGTGATTGATATCAGTGATGTTATAACAATAATATCAATACCCATGATGATGTGGAAGACACTATATACTGTGTGTGGTTTATAAACTATTCAACAATTAAGCATCACTTGGATCAGTTTCAACTTCTCTAAGCTTCAATTTCCTTAATTTTAAATTATAGTATAAACAAAGGTGGTTCTTTTGTTTTCCTGCTGCTCTGACCCAAATAGTCACACAGAAACTATATTCATTACAACACTATTTGGCCAATGACTCAAGCATATTCCTAGTTAGCACTTATATCTTAAATTAACCCATGTCTATTAACCTGTGTATTGCCATGAGGCTGTGGCTTATTGGTACTTTTCTATCATCCTTCTCCTTCAGCAACTATATAGCGTCTCCTTGACTCCACCTACTCTCTCTATATATCTCAGTTCAGATTTCCTGCCTGGCTATATTCTGCCCTGCCATAGACCAAGACAACTTCTTTATTAACCAATGGTAATAAAACATATTCACAACACACAGAAAGGAATGCCACATCATTCAATATGATGCTACTACTATATACACCATGAGAATTAAATCAAGTCTAATCATGACATAGCAAATAAAGCCACTTATAAAGTCTTGATAATAAATGCTATACAAAAAATAATTGCACCCTACAGAAAAATTAAATCTCTCTCTGGTCACATAAGCAGTAAGAAAAATAAATTCATCACGTTAAAATAAACTCAGATTTAGAAAACAGGATTACAAATGAAAATATATAAACTCTATCCAGTTTTCCCTGCACACATGTTAAAAAAATAATAAAGTTACTCTATTCAAGAAAAGG